CAATTTTTCAAGATTTACTATTTAAACCGGCATGTACAATAGTGAAAAAATAGAAAAGTTTAAAATCGAAGGGAAAACAAAATATTGAATTCCATATGCCACATGAACGCCACACATTCCTTCAAAGGGTAAAAATAAGTCAAACGTAAAAGTAGCACGGTCAGAACAATGAATTTTCGAGATATTGTGTTTAATGGGTTGTACTGGCCGCCAGTCACTCTTCCTCTTCCAATTTTTGCTTTTAAGTTTTTTTATTCTCCTTCAGATGTTTTTTTCTTCTCGAAGTTACTAAATTTGTGCTGGTTTCAATGCATCACAAGATACTTTATTACTTGTTCATTTCTTTTTTAAACATTTTATGCACAATATGCGGGATTTAGAAACAATTTCCTTCAGATTTAAAAATCAATAAAACATTTTAAAGCCAACGAAAAATACTTACCAAATTGATAACAAAATTAAATTAAGTTAAGAGAATGATTTTGAAAACCGAATTACTTTTATCTAAAATTGTGTCTGCAGGATAATAAATACTTTGTGATGAAGTTAGTGTTACCGGTTAAGTATATTGAAGACATGGGTTTTTATTAGTTATATGTATTGTATATATATATACATTTGTACTGTGTTATTACAGGTAATATTTTACACATATTTTATAATTATTTCTTTCTTTTTTTTCTCTGTTCCAAATTTTTTTATTTAATATTATTGTTAGTAGAGATAATAATTAAAAATATAATGAATGCAAATAGTTGAGGGTCGACTACTGGAAAATCCATTTTCTGGTTCCAAATATTAATACAATAATTGTGTGATTGAGATTTTGATCATACTGAAATTTGTGTTTAAATATATATTTTTTGGATCTTTCGATATGGTGTGAAATACAATTACATATCTTCCATGGAACATCTTAGATTATTGTATCCTTCTAATGTCATTTTCGATGACATGTCGGCACGTAGCAATAGCAATAGCTCGACCATAACTTGATAAATGTTTCTGAAGATGCTTCAAAGCGGTGAGTGTCAGTCGATTGTCGGAATAAATACTGTTCTTTATCTAAACTCATAAAAAAGTTTTTATGGTGATATGATATGACCATAGCAATTAATTCACATTACAAAAATGTGAAATTATGCATCTGTAAAAGTTCTGCTGTGACAAAGACGAAATAGGACATGCAGAGTTGCTTGCGATGCTGTGCTATTGCAACATGCCTATCACTTTCAGAAGCAATCATGTAGCTGTGACGATCAGAATTGACGGTTTTTGTTCAAACATCACTATTTTCAACAAAGTATTACACCTCCATACCAAACGTTTCATCATACCTATAGTGACTTTTAGTAGATGCGTCTCATTATTAAAAGAAATTATATACGAAAAATAGGCAAAATTCAGCGGATACCTTATACTAAGCACATGTGATATATGGAATATCACTGAAATAGTACTGATAACTTCGGGCTGCGATATGTACAGCTTTTAATATTTCATTACAAAATATAGAAGGTATTTTATTTGTAATCAAAATATTTTTAATCAAGTGAATCCTTGGGCTGACAATACCGATGTTTCGGATAATCAGTGGATAACTAATCCATCATCAAGGATATCAGCGCATGTCTATTATAATTTATACTTTATTCCTTATAAATATTTACACATAAATTCTAAATACATTTTTGATTTATTTATGAAGTTATTATTTTAAATGTAAGGTCTATAATTATTAAATTTATTATTTTATATGCTTCTTTTCTCTACACAGGTGCATTATCATCACTTTTTCTACACGATATACAAGGATCTTTATCCCAATTTGTTTAGTAAATCTTGATTGGTTATTCTTATATAACATATCAAATGCACTAAATAAATTAATTCGCAAATAATATCACAAATAATATCATCAACAGAGACGCATTTATTTTCATAATGGATCTGGAATTTAATTAATATTACTACTGAATAATCATTATTATTAATGGAAAGAACAGGAATACAACATCTTTTATAGGTCTGTTTATCATCTGTTATTGGTGCAAGTTTTAACCCCGCCATATTCTTCATAAAATTTTCTTTTATAATTGAATCTTAATTTTAAACTAATGGAATTGATTAATAAAAAAATATTCTTCGTTTAAAGTTGTCCAGGTAATTTTAGTTCAATAAAATCCGAGTGAAGTCGTTATCTGTCAGTCGCAGATGGATAGCTACTTATCTATGCCACTTAATAAAACTTAATACTTAATAAATAAGAATAAAAACACTTAATAAAATTTTAATTTAAATTTTTCAAATTTTAATGACCCTAACTTGGATTTTCAGAAGAATTTTATATTTAAATAGCTAAGCTAAATTTGGGTTAGTTGAAACCAAATCATATAAGTCAATAATGAAAATCAAATGCGCACTTTCGTTTTTTTCGAATATTAACTAAATCTAAAGAAAATCTAAAAATTAATATATGGAGTAGATAAGATTAGATTTTAAAAGAGGCTGAAAACTATGTCACCACGTCACTGCACCCTTAAGAATTATTGTGATAAACCCACTTTAATTCCATAGGCGCGTAGCAGTTATATCCCTTGCAGAGATGTTGCTAATTTCCGTTATAAGCAGATAGATAGTTGATAGATTCGAAGTCTGAGTCTAATGAGACTATCACAGTGAGACAGAATGTATTTTACTGTTTCACTCTTATCGTCCCTTATGATATCTAGATTTGATAGATGCTTTTTAACTTTGCAATGTCCAGTGAGAAACCCTGTGAAAAGCCGAATGGTTTTTCTGTTTAGCATTACCAGTCTCTTGGTTCTAGGCTTTAAGCAGTTTCGTTATCCTGATCAGTCTGAGCTTTTCTTTCCAGCCATTCATTAATTTTGAGTTTAAAGAAGCTGCATGAAGGATCGCAGAATGGTTTAGTCCAAATAAAATATTTGGCCGTTTCTTTTCTGGCTAGTTTATCGGCTTTCTCGTTTTTCTCAATTTCGCTGGGTCCTGGCATCCATATTAAGTGACGGCATTTTCTTTCAGTAAGATCTTTAAGAGGTTGGAGGCATTCCTATACAAGTTTTGAATTTACTCGAGATGTGCTTAGTGCTAGAAGTGCTAACTGTCAAAGAAAATATATACGTTTTTTGCTGTGGTGTTTTTCCATCTGTATTTCCTTAGACATAATTCAATTGCGTGGACTTATGTCTTATCAAAATAATACCTCAGTTTGCATTTTTTTTTTGAAATAGCCTATAAATTGTATAATTCGATATGAGATTTATTGTACAAATATTAAACGTATTCTTTCACAAATTATTTAAAAGCTTACTTGTTGTTGTGTGATTATCTTTTCAGACATCAGATACAGTTTAGATAGTACTACAGATGACTGTAATAATCTTTTTTATATTAAATAATTGTTATTTAATATAATATTTAATTTATATTAACATTTTGACAAATTTTAAAGCTTATGGAAGCACATTCTCTCCGTGACTCAATAGTAGACATCGAAAAGTTATAATTTGCATTATAAGTTTTTAAAACGATAAACTTCATTGGAGATTCCTCTTTCAATTTAATGTGATATTCTTGCCACTTCTAAATGTCATAAAAATTGAAATAAAAAAGCAATGAAATTAAAAAGCGAAATATCTTAAATTTATTATATCCGAATATTTAATTTTTTATAATTTAAATATATCAATGTCACTTATACTCGTAAATTGTCTTTATGTGCATCAAAAAATCCTCATTTTGCATAATCGACTTTATGACATTTTATGAAAAATTAGCTATTGACTTTAAAATCAAAGTCAATAAATGATATGAATTTTAAGCAGATTAATTTAGAAGTGATTTTTATAATTTTACTGATTCCATACTATGCAAATTTTAAGTTGATTGCCAATCTTTCCAATTGAATTTAGTCACGATTCATGATTTATGTCATATTTTGGAATTTTTATTATTTATTTCTTTGATTTTTGATTAAAAATTAGTTCGAGCTAAATTTATAGCATCATGGACTATAAAGTTAGTGGTTATTATTATTCCTATAAGTATATATTTTTATTAGTTGAATTTATGGTTATACAGTATTATATATTAATACATACAGTATTGAGTATTGGTAATTATTCCATTTTTCATTTTTGGTTATTAAAATTTTCTAAATGAAATTTTGATTCAGTCCAACATTTATTTTTTTCAGGTTTCCGGTCATAGGAACATTGCATATGTTTCATACTGATTGAACTAGCCAGATGGAACATATTTGATACTTCTCTGAAAGATTTGGGCAGGAACTAACAATTCAAAAGTAATTGTTAAAATCCTCCCATAAAGAACACTTATTTTAAAGATTTTATAACCATAGCCTGTAAAGCAATTATTCTTATAGAGGATATGCTATTCTTTTACTGTCCTTTAGGATAAATTTTCCTTTTAATGCTATTCATTGCAGTTGTAAGAAAGACGAAAAAAGTACTTGACATCTCTTTCATCTGTATAAAGCATGCAACATTGAGAGCAAACATGTTAAAACCTCACTTTACTAGAAAACAGGACTTTCTTTAAAATAAGACAGTAAACACAAAATGTCAAGAATACTCTTATATATAATCATATTGCATTTATATTCTTCTTGTTTGCGTTTCTTTTAATGACTAAAATACGCATATAATATATATTAACATATACAGTATATACCATATACTATTTTACATGGTACATATTAACATATGTACTAAGTACGGCTTGTCTCAAAAAATTATTTAAGAATAATTAAATACAAGAAATAATTCCAAGACCACTGATTATGGGTACTTGGCAATACTCGAAACAGCTGTATGGTCAGCCAAATATCCAATTAATTAAAGTAATTTAACAAAAATTTTTTGTTGTTGTAGTTCACTACTCTTGGAAATTTCTCTGCCATATACACTATGTATAAAATAAGTACACAAATTATATTTCTGGGCAATTTTTTATTGCATTTCATAAAACATTTAAGAATCACAACAAGGAGACTTTATTCAGATCTTATAAGCAACTTAGCCAGCTTGTGGTAACATGGCTAAAATACCACGCTTTACGTTGGTTACATCCTGAACAACTGCTTCTCCAGTGATGTGATCATTTGCAATCAAAGTTCGTTTCTTGTTAGCATCCAACATGTGTGCGGAGATGTTCAACTCAAAGTCAACCTCTGGTAGTACGGCAAGGGATGGATCTTCAGGTAACCAGAACTTGTGTATGAAATAGGTGCCCTGCAATTTACGTGAAAAATATTTTTGGAATTTATATTTTCCCTAAAAAAATATATGCAATATTTGTAGATATGATTTGTTCATGACAACATTTTTGTGATGATGTTAATGAGGAAGGCTGTGAGAAAATTAGAATAAGTTCAGGTTATTTGAGAAAAAAAATTCTGTTTAATTTACGAAAGCTTTCAAAAGAATATTTATGTTTTTAATTTTACTAAGAGTAAATAAATTATTTAGTTTTTTGAACCCAAAAATTGTCCTATTTAAAGTACATTTTTAATGCCAAGCAAACTTTCAAACAAACTTTTGTGGAGAAATAGTGATAAGTTATACAGTTTATGATGTTTGATGAAATGCTAAACAAAATGGTAAAAACACCTACCTTTGGAATTGGACAAGATTCTACAAGATTTCCGTATTCCTTAAGATAAGCATGAATCAAATTACCGATCGGGGATTGAGCTTTCCAATTTAGTATGCGACAAAGATTAACTGTTGAGTTTGCTGAAAAAAAGTAAGTTGAGTCCAATTTCTGTGTTACCGAAGCTTCAATATGCAGATCTAGATCATGTATTTCTTTCAACACATTAATGGTGTAATTTATATGCGGATCATTGGCATCAAAGGTGACACTACGTGTGACATAAGCGCTGTCACTCCAAATTTTAACATCCTTGAATTTTGGGCGCATGACTTTCTGTAAAATAAATTAATTTTATTTTTCAATTAAAAAGGAAAAACTTTAGATTTGAGTTACCTCTGCCTGTATGGCGATAACGCAGACTATGAGGACCACTTGAAATAGGAAAATATTCGTTAGGCGCGCCATTTTGAGAGCAATTGTTGGAAAAGTTCTTCACCAAACCAAAAACTGCTTCAATAATGTTTATAAACTCCTAAAACATTTAAGTTTTTATAACAAAAGCCGGTGGAGATGGCATATAGATTACGCTTTTGTTTTAATTATTATTATGTAGAATTATAAAATAAAAGTAGAAAATGAAAAACCTGTAACGCAATTTTCCGCTCAAACAGAATTGAATGATTTTTGATTGCTTTTTAGATTTAATGGTTCAATGGAGCTTTTAAATTGCCTTCATAAATGATTTTTAATACTTCGTGATATCATATTTATTTTTATCATTTTCATTGGCGATGACATCATACTGATTTTTCGATAAGGCGGAAATAGTTTGTCATGCAGAATTTTCCATTATTTTTTCATAAAAATATTAAAGAAGATATGAATTATATTTTCTGCATAGTGAAAATTTTTCATCAGTTAAATTTTGTGTAGCTATGAAGTTAGAAGTGAAAATTTTAATCGCTTTTGGTATAATTTTATTTCTCTGCAGTAATACTGCACTTGGATGGGTAAGTGTTTTGATAACTGGTTTATAACTCAATATTTTGTTCATCTATCCATTTAAATTAATTGGTAAATTATTATAAATATGATCATTAACGTTTAATAGCGATTAATTACATTTAAGAGACTAATAATTAAATACTCGTGAATTAAAGTGTTCTAATAAAATAACATAAACTGCACATCCTATACACGTAATTAGTATATTACTAATATAGTATAAATACTAACCTTTGCAACAAACTGAAGAGCATTCAATTGCTAACCAATTAATTATAACAATTTCATCGGTATCCACTAACATTTTGTATTAATTTTTATGTCTAGAGAACTTGACCGTTATATTTCCTTCTTAGCGATATGCAATGATTATATAATTATAGTATCTAAATAACTAAATACCAAAATATTAATTTTTGATAAGTTCTAAGTATGTATATACGATTAAGTGAATATAAACACCTCTACCAAATAGTATTTATAAAATACTTCATATTTTTGTTGTATAGAAAACACACAATTTATATTTAAGATAATTCTGGCTTACTTTTCGTAAACAGAAATTTCATGAAGGGTTTTCTAAAGGATGTATGTTTGGATGCCTCTTACATCGGCAAAAATAAGTTTTTTGTAGATTAGACCTTTATCTATGAACCCTTAGTAGTCAGTTCCAATTTTTTATCAAAGTTTTGTCAAAAAAAAATTTCAGAAAAAAATCAAATTTCTGGGGAAAGAAATATTGTTGAGTACTAAAAACAAGTTTGTATAAATGTTACATTGAATATGCATTTTATATTGGTAGGCATTGTTATTAATTATTAAGAATTCTTCCAGATATATCTGTTTACATTTTTTATTTTAGCAGACAGTGTATTCTGTCTCTACTATTATTGTTCTATTATTAACTATTATTGTTCTTTGTGTGCAGTAATAAGATAAATATAACACAGCTTCAGCTGTGACGTGTACTGCCTTTCCTAATATATGGTGTTTTTTCTGCTATTATGAGAACTTAAAATGATAATGGAAGATAGAGATATTATTGGAATGAAATTTTTTTTATTATAATTTGGTAGATAATTTCATGGCATTTCCGACATATGTCCGCCACTGTTACGAGTTATATGGTCTATTCGATCAGTCCAATTTTTGATTATTTTTGCAATTAATGTGACCTTATGACATCAATCGTCAATGGTCAAGAACTGTTGGTTTGTCGGCATAAACTAATGACTTAACAAATCCCCATAAAAAGAAATCGATAGGCGTTAAATTGTACGAAAAAGGGTGGCAGTTAACGGGACAAGAAACAAAGTTTTTAGTAAATTGATTGGAACCGATGTTGGAACCGATAACTGATTAATTTTTGGAAACAAAATTATTTTGTGGAATGGCTCGATAGCTCGAAATGAGCTCATTCCTGACTTCGAAAAATCATCAAATTTTGACATAATGGATAATTATATTTATACAGAGTTTAATTGTTGGAATTTAGTACTCAAGTTGGTATATCAAATTAAAAGAAGACAATGAAAACAAAATGCCTTTTTCCCAAGAAAACATCTTTTATAAAAAAGTCATTCAATTATCAAATCCAGCATCCAGTATTTAAAAATCTGATTTCTCCCCCTCTTCTTATTAATAGAAGAAAAGTATTACCTCTACTTACCTCCAGAAAGTATTATTGAGACCTCTAGTAGCCCGTTAGTTATCTCATTCTTTATATTTATTTTGTTTAGCTTGACGTGTATGCTAATTTTGAAATTAAGTGTTTAATGTGAGTTCATAGACGTGATATTAGCTGACAAAATATGAAAAAACCTATTAAATTTTTGCTTTAGGATCACCTGTATACATCACTATATATACAGGTGTTTATTTGACTTGTATTTACGCTTGTGGTCTCAAAAGCTAGAACCCGTATCTCATCGATAATTACATCTGAACCATTTGTGCCTGGTTTTTGCTAGCAGAAGAGCATACTTTTGGTATAGAAAAAAGTCGTTTTTTCTTTAAAATCGTGAACGGAAGCCATCTTTCCAGCATTTAAAGGGAATAACAATTTTCTATCCCAGAAAAAATTAATAGTTTTTGAAACATAAAATCAATACTTATTCTTTGTCTTTTTAGGGTGTGTATTATAATACAGAGGATAACACATGATAATGTACAAATCCTCAAAGTTATATCCAATTTAGAATTATGGAATTGCGAAAATAAAAAAGATTCTCTTATTCTTATTAAGCAAATGCGCCTCTTATTTCAGAGATATTGTCTTTTGTTCTTTTTATTGATGATTTGAAATTATACGCCTTCGTAAAATATTTAAGAGGGTGTGATAACTAGTTCCTGCTAACTATTAAAATAAATAAATCAAATACAAAATAATGCATATAAAAATATTATATAAAAGCCATTTATGTTTTTACAAATTATGGAATTTGTTAGGTGTATTTTCCTTAGAAGATTATTTACTAGATACTGTAATTTAGCAGAACAAAAAGTTTTGATGGGGTATATATACACTAAACTTTTTTTAAAAATTTTTGTAAAAAAAATTATTAAAAGATGTGCCTGAAAAAACAATAATTCCATTAAATGTACATATCCTGATGTCATACCTATGCAATATCTACTTAATATCTTAATATCTACTTAATATCTACTAACTTAGTATAACTCAATATTTATTAACTTATAACAATTTCAATATAACAATTAATATATTTCTGATAAGAATATAACATATTTAACTAACTTTTTATTATCCTATCTTTATTATTATTACAACATATTAACTTTATTATCTTTCCAGCGTTCGTTTAATGTACTTATCACTTCATTTCCGTTTAAATTCAATTCAGATATGATTGATGTGAAAATTAAAATTCACAATAAAACTGACGAAACTACTTTGGATGTTGTTTTTAATGTTCTAGAAGATATTAATGACATACATCTGAAGTACGCGATTGCACTTGAAGCAAGCGAAGGAAATTACACGGCACTCTTAAACCGATCGGTCAATATGTGCAATTTCTTAAAGCAACGTTCAATGGAACCCGTGTTACGTGTAATCTACGAAAATATACTGAAAAGTGGTAATTTCATCAAAACCTGTCCAATTAAAAGAGGGATTTATTCACTACATGAATACCATGCTGATGAGGAAATATTACCCAGTTATGTACCCGAGACTAATTTCATTGTTGACATCAAAATGGATTTGCCGAATGGCAAAATGGTCTTCCAAGGTCGTTTGAATGGCAAAATAGATAAATCCAAGGGCTTCAATAACCTTAAAATGTTTAGTTTAGGTTGATTTTCAAATCATTACATAGCAAGAAAATGAATTGTTAATTGACATAAGGAATGTGAAATAAATTTTTCCTATATGTATAAAACTGCAATTATTTACTATTTTCTTAAATCAAATAATTTTTAAAAAAATTTTCATATTACGAGCTGCTTCCAAAACCAATAAAAACTGTATATCTCAATTTAAATTCACGCCTCTGAGGAAAAAAACACCAAAAAAAGATACTTGAAGATAAAGAATGCAAGGTATACTCGCATGTGAGAATGTATCTTTTAGTATTCAGCACATTTTCTTTGCTTTGTCTGATGTGATTACTCACTCATCTGTGAAATCGTATGCTTATGCTGGTGACAAACTGTCTGCGCACGATAAAATTGATGATTCACTTATATTGAATTTTGAAAATTTGCAATTTTTGCAATCAAACTCCTTTTTAATTTCCCGATGAAAAAAGGAAATTTTAGTTGTCGTAAAAGGTGCAATAGCTTTGATGACATTTTGTTAAAATTTCAAAAAAGTTGCTTGTGAAAAATTTAAATATCAAATTTAAAGTTTCACACGTTGCGGCTTCTTGAAAGACAAAAATCTGCTTTTACTGAAAAAGTCTTCCCGACAAAATTTATTAACCTTTTTCTTCACAAGCTGGATTTACTAAGCACAAATTGAAATAAAATTCTAATTCAAACACTTAGCTGGATTCGGAACTGAAGCACTTAATGACTCAAGTGCTCATTGACTTGATAGGCCATTTGTTCGAGTGTAATAAATATTTTTATCTACATATTCACAATTAAGGATTCAGTACACATTTTATAAACGAGCATTAATATATGCAATGGAGCAAAAATGAGTCATAAATTTTAGGCGAAGGTTAAGAAATTTAGAAACGCTTATTCGTATCGTATCATACATACATTTTGTGACACAGAAAAAGGCGGCATTTAAACTTTTGATATTTTAATTATTCCAAATTCATGTTGACAGTTGAGATCCATGGTTTTTGCACTCCGAAGTGACTACTCGTGTTGTTTTATGGTTTCAACACCCAAGAATTGTGATTAATTTTCTAGTTACGTAGTTCACATCAGTGAAACTAGTTCAAATTATTACAGTTCTCTTTCGCTTAGAGTTAACAGCATAGTATCAGTATTAAAAAAAAATTAATTATTAATAAGTATC